AAGCGTTTCAGTGCCTAAAGGCTCTTGTTTCATTTTTTTTAAAGACACACGTGTTTGTTTTGTTTTGTTTGTTTTTTGTTTTGTTTTGTTTTGGTTTTTTAAATACAGTCAGATAATATGATTCCTTAACTGAGAAGAAAGTTGTATTTTAAACATTCTGCCAAAATTTCCCATGAAAATGATAGGATGTGATTGTTTCTATTTCTGAAAAACAGACTGTGAGGAGTGTGAAATATCTTAAATGTACACTTTTGTGTGGTGGCAAGATGGGAGAATTGAGATGCAGGAATACTGATGTTAGACCTTACAAATAATACTAATGATATTATTTAAATTCTTGTGAGAGGGCAAGAGTAATTATACTGAGCTTCCTCATACTTGTAGAATGCCATTTTATCATTTGTACTTTTGATAGTAATCTAAAAAAGTTATTTTTATTATGAAGTTTTTATTATAGTTATTTTTATTATGTTGGACCCTGCTGTACTAACTGTTGTACAGGCAAATAAGAAAAAAACAGCTTCCACTACAAAAGGTGTAATAGGCTAAAATCAATATGAAAGAAAATAATATTTTAAGATAAATATACCGTAATTACTGAATAAACATTATTATTTACATTTAAGTTACAGCAGAGGAAAGAAATCGCCTTTAAATTAGAATGAAGGTGGACTTCTTCCTATTCCAGTTTAGAAACTGACATTGTCTACCCTAACCTGCCTAAAAGTCAGTCATGCACTGGAGAACCTGGACTAGGAGCCTGAGTTGTCTTAGGGCTCTGCTAGAGGCAGTGTAGGAGGTAGGTGGTTCAGCTCACCTGGCTGAGGATGCAGTGGGTCAGCTCTGGAGGTGTCTTTTCCCATTGACTTAAGCAGAAGCCTAGTTCAGTTGCAAATACTAACTTCAAAAGGCACGGTGTGGCCTAATTGTGTGGAGACAGGAGTTCTAGACAATATATAAGAAGTATTAATTGAAAAATCAAGAATATTTTGCAACTTAAAGAGGAAAATGATCCATATTTCATTTACAAGTATTGTAGTAATAAGTAATTAATGTTTTTAAGGGTAACTTCTTCCAGAATTTCAAGTTTAGCTAACTGATGTTCTCACCATTCCAGTTTGCTTTTAAGATAGAGAAGAATATATCCAATAAAAATACAAAGCAGTGGCAAATGAAAAAAGTCAATTTAAAAATCAATCCTCCTTGATTTTTTCTATTGATTCCTCTTAGAAAAAGCACACAGAATTTTTATAACTGAAATGGATCTTAAAAAAATTTCAGTGTGTTCAATTATTTACTTTATGCTTTTGAAAACACTTTTGAGTAATGTGTTTCTTTTTTTCACTTTTCATACCTCATTCTTTCACACAGAAAAATAGAAACTATTAAAAAGTAGAAGATGATAGCATTATTTTGTTTTTGTTCATACTTGTGCTTATGAGTTGGTACCATTCTCACACATACACATGATGTGCTTACAGCCATGGTAAACATAATACACCATAAGATGTGATTTTTAACAAACTGATTTCTATACAAAACAAAATCTTTATATAATATAGGAGCTTTGTGGAGTTTTAAACAGGAAGTTAATTTATTTTACATCAGATACTGAAAAGCAAAGTATAGAAGGGAAGGTTTGGGAGCATTAATACAACAATGGAATCAATTGTAATAGTCAATGAAAATGTAATTTGTCCCTAAATCCCAACATAGATCATGTGGCCATGTTAGAGGTGTAGGATGTGAATGAGCAAAGAAACAAAGCAGTAAGAGTACTCTTGGTGGTACAATGCAAAATGAGAAAGCAGATACAGACCATGACTGTCTTGACCTCTTGCACCTATTAGCTTCTGTTGAACCTCCATGGAAAAGCATCAACAGTAACCGAGGGTGTCCATTTGTTATTTGGCTTGGCCATAGGTTGCAAAGTACCTCAAATGGTGCAGCAAACATTGACCAAAGAATAGCAAAATAGCCTGAAGATTGGTGAAATCGCACAAAGGGTAAGAAATGTCAAGAAAAAAACAGGTGGCTCAGTTCAGTGGATAAAAGGAGCCTTTGGACATCTGTTAAAATATTGTGTCTTTCTGGAGGTCTTTCCCTTAGCATGCTTTGTTTTGTAAGTGTTTAATGAGATGTTAAACCTTGCAATAGAGAGTTCTGATGGGGCACTGAAGGACAAAGTCATGGAGTCTACAGTCTTTTTACTCATTCTCCTAGTGCTCCCTGAATTTCTCAGGATTTGTCAAGAGGCGTATACAAAGTCAAGAGGTAGACCCTTTTGGAGGTAAATCCTCTTTTCATACCATGATGTGGAGGGCGTAGCTCTGGAAATGACATATCAGTAAGACACTTGCTCAAGCCTTTTTTCCAATATGTATTCCCATAGTTTCCCATTAAAAGGCTCTATTGCTAGGGAGGAGGTTTACTTTTACTAATTTATTAGCAGTTTATTACTAATCAGCTCTGGGATGACTGAATTCTTAACAGCTGTTCTAGTACACAGCAGTCCTTTTTAAGTACCAAAGGGTTTATCCCTGTAAGCATTTTTTACATTTAATTTTACATGTTTTTTTTTACAACTTCCACAATTTTCCGCACATCTTTTTTCCTCATGGAGAATCCAGTGAGTATTTTATACAATGGAACTCCTCCTGTCAATACTTTAGACCTCGTTTATTAAGAAGTGTTGATTTTACAGTTTTTTAAAAGATTTTTTTTAAGCTGGCCCAAATTGGAAAAAATACCTGCAAGCTAAAAAAAAATTGTTCATGGAAATCTAGATAATCACAACCTGTGTGATAAAGTCTCCTCTCGCATTATTGACCAGGCATACATAGTCATTCAATCGATATAGTCTTCTTCCCCAAAATTTGGAATGATTACTCATCATCCTGCCATCTGGACTAAAAGTCAGTCTTTGTTGAGTGCACTGAGATTTTAAAGAGTAGACAGTCTTCTGAAAGCTTCTAACCTCTGGGAACTAGATCAATTAAAATTGCTCAGTGATGAAGGAGAGTAGTGAAATAATTTCAGTCTAAAACTTTTTCATTACTTTTTTTTTTTTTTAAGTTTAAGGTGGTTTACTGTAATTTTTGTATGTCTGAAATACCTGGAACTCAGTGAGGAAATAATGGAAGTGCTGTATAGACAGACTGAAATCACTGTTCTTTATCCAAAGATTTGGAAGGGAAAAGTAAAGATGCGACACAATAGAAAATAAAGGATATGACACAGTAGATGAGAGTGTCAGATGAGCCAGGCCAGAGGCTGGAGGGAGGATGACAACAGTCATATATTGGGTAGAAGCCACGGTTCATGAGAAACCATGGTTACAAGTTGCTAGTTCAATTTCTGCTACCGTTTTTTTTGTGGAGGCCTCAGAGACACTTCGGGCTAAACTTTCAAAAAGTTCGTGTTTACTGTGGCAGAGTGTTCTGCTTGTGGCAAATACGACTCAAATAGGATTCATGAGAGACTGTATTGATTGTGGAGCGACCCATTATAAAGTGACCCATTATTGATTGAGGGATTTGTTTTAAATCTGTCACTTTTGTAAAACTGGGTACCTTTCTGGCTAGGTAACTCCCATTAAGTCTTTTATGCTTGGGTGACTAATCACTTTTTTCTAAAGGATGAGGCAGGATCCTTTAATAAAAGTGGCCATGTAGCAACTCCATAAGAGACATAGTTCCCTTTTAAGATATTGATTGTGTTTTAACAAAAAATGTGTTAATGACCATGGAAAGAAGCAGTAAAATCAGTTCTCCTTGTTCTTTCTTAGTCTTCCAAATTTTCCATATTGCAGAAAATATGGAGTCTCTCTTTTTCCTGTCTTGCCTACTTTCATGAATAATCAAAGCAGTCATTTGTTGGGTATCAGATTAAGGCTAGGAAACGGCTAGGATAAATATATGTATCTGTTCCAGGTTTCGGAGCAGTGAGCTGGGGTAATGATAGGGATGATATGATAGATGAGTTGGAGATCAAACTTTCTGGCTAGGCAAGCAACACAACCTTCTTATGAACATGGACCTCCCTGGAATAAACCTGCACCATGGCTTCTTTTCTGTTACAAAATGTGACATGGCACAGTACCATAAAACCTCTGTTAGATCTTATGCTTTTCCAAAGAGTCAGGTTTAGCGGGCACAGGGAGCCAAGCATGCAGAGCAGCAAATAGCTGCGAGTTCCCTGGTGAAAATCAGCAGCCAGGAGTAGACGTGCATTGCCAAAACAGCTCATGCCACCTATGCCTGCTGCTGCCTGTCCCTCTGCTGCTTCCTTGGAGTTTCCAGGGAGGGGCTACAGGCCAGAACATTTATTCTGATTTGTCAGCCTTCTCCCAGTTTCTGTTTTTCTCTGGTTGTTTTCTCTGTTGGGAGAGGGACCTCAAGGCCCTCAGGAAAGGTGTTGCTGGGAGGGAGTTGCAGGTCAGGCAGGTTGTCCTGGCAGGCTGTGTACCAGCTCTGTTGCAGTGATCTTTGCTACGGCCAGTAGTAGATACAATGGCACGCTTAGTTTACAGCTGGCTTAGTGTGGTGGCCACCACAGAAAACTGTATGAGAAGAATCGGGACATGAAGGCTGGATAGAGGGTGTATTAGAAAAAAAGGAAAAAAGGTAAGTTAGGCTCTATCACATTTAGAACAGACCTCCACAAAAGGCAGCTCCAGTGATGTACTTGCTAGTGAAGACAGTGTCTGTCCTGGAGAGCACTAAACAAACTCCAGCTTATAAGAAGTAAAAGAAAGGAAAAAGCAAGTGGCTTAGATTTAAGTCAGTGAAAGAGAACACAGTCAGGGTGTGCCTTGAATATTTTGGTCCATTCCAAGCTCATTATTTTTAAGCAACAAAAGACAAATCTTGTACATTTTGTATTCAATTTTATCAACATATTCTGAATTTTTTCCCTTTACTTGTGCTATATAATTTTATGTAATTTCCATATGACAGTGATCTGATTGGATGTCTCTGTTTTCTTCTTGGTTCTTGTAGGATAAAGTCGTGGGTAGATAAGATGCAAGAAGATCTCGTAACATTAGCACGAACTGCAAGCGGAGTGGACCAGCTTGCTGCGGTAAGAAAACACACCTTAGACTGCAGTAACTAGAAAGTGAAGTGAGTGGTGTGTGTCATCTAGGCATTATGATCATCACAACATAGTAAAAAGATTTTGGGGAATTAAACTTTGCAGTGATTGCTGAGAGAGAAATGAATAACATAGACATCCATCAGTTTACCCTCTTAATGTTGCAGTACTTGCTTATTGATAATATTTAATCAGTTTTGCAGTATCAGACATAAGGCTTACCATTGTTGCAACACTTCCACCTGGAGCAAGTGCGTTTATGTTATGTTTGTCAAATACGGTATCCAGGAAGAAACCATTCATGGCAGTGAAAAATTCTGCTCTCTATTAACAAGGAAGACTATTTTTCTGACACATATTTCCTGAAATGAGTCAGCTTTTGATTAGAAGAAACGTAGATGAGAATGAAAACTACTTTTATTCAGCTGCTCCAATTTAACTGAAAGTGTGTTTTAGGGAAGAATTTACAACTCTTCAGTCATTGAGAAGAAACTGCTCCATTCATAGAAGGTAAAATCACATCTGAGATTGCAGAAAAATGAAGTCACAATTCAGAAAATGTCAGGATTACACTGCCTGTACAACTTTATGGGTATACATCATGATCCAGTATGCAACCACATGATTACACATTTCCCTCTCCCTATCCCTGCACAAGGCCCATGGCTCCTTCTGTGAACCGATGGATCTCTGGGTTGGTGTAGGACTGTATAATCAAGGGAAGTTTTGCTGTTACATTAGGGAAAGAAGTTATCCTGTTAGCCAGCAAAAACACTTGATGCCGGGGAACTGAACATGAAGCCATGAGATTTGGTTTTTAGAAGTCATGATCTCTCCAAATGATACATGAAATTAATAGTACCTGTGTTTCAAAGCCATTAAGAAACAGACAGAAGAATCTGTGTATTTCACACAGAAATTTCTGATTTAACACTGTATATAATGTATTCCTTTGGCCTTAATGAATTTTTACCTGGATTTCCACATCTCATGTGAATCCTGCCCCAGAAGCCATTTTCACTTTACTGACAGTAAGAGAAGGCTAGATGACTAGCTCAGATGTCCATGTTTACATTGTGGAAGCTTCAGTTTAGATGAGATCACCACTGTCCTATAGAAGGAAGAGCTGTGTCACTGCATACACACGAGGAACATAAATGAAGATTACAGAGATTATTTTAGTTCCGACCTTTCTGAATATTTGTGTGCTTCATATTGCAACACAATTTAAGGCGGATGCTTTAGATACACTTTTTATTCTTGGAAAACCCCAACTAAACTGAAAACAAAATCTTGAAGTCCTAACAAAACCCATCAGATTGATACACACATGAGTTTCCAGCAGAGGATCTCAGCAATGCAGAAATGCCTATCACTTGAGCTTTCTGAGGAAGCGTAAGGCTTACCCAGCACAGAACACTGGTGGGAGTTTTGTAGATGGATTTCACATGTATTTGCTGGCAGAGAACAATGAGGTTTACAAATCATGTCTCTGACTTCAGGTTTTGGTGAGGAGTTTCTGCTAAGAGGAGGGAGGGCCCTTTCTGCTCATCTGGTCTAGGTGTCATCTGTTCTCTCCTGCACTTGAGGTGTCTCTTTTTCACCACCATCTCCTCACTGTCATACCTCTGCTCCACCATTGGACTTCCCATTCTATTCTATTCCTGCTGTGCTGCGTGGGCTATCTTTCATCTCTCCTCAATATATTCTATTTTTCTGTCCCAGTTTCTACCTTTGCTGCCTCACCAGTCACACTGGCTTCTTATCCCTATTTTAGGATCTCTTTCCTCAGCTTTTTCCAGTTCAGCACCTCTCTCTGGACTCTTTAATTTACCTTAGGATTTCCAAAACATTGTGCTTTGGTGTGTATGGCCAGCCTGTCCCCATACTCCTCTGGCATCTCTTCTCTTCCACAGGTATTTTTCTTCCCCTTCTCATCTCTCCCTACATCACTAGTTTTCAGTCACAGACCTGTAGTTTTCTCCTGTATGCTTTTTCTATTTCTCTTCCCCTTCCAGTCTCTTCTCTCCTTATTCTTTGCCTGCCATTTTCCAGTCTGTTATCCCCTACTTCCATATCCAAATCTCTTGCCCTTTGTTCTTCATTCAGTTTTTATCTCCTCTTCCTCCCACTGCTTAGACCACGAGGGTGGAGAGATCACCTGAGAGACCACATCAAGTCTTGAGTTTTAGCTGCAGAGGAGGTGTGACGTTCTCTAGGAGTGATGCTCTCTGGGTTGGAAAAACCTGTGTGTAGGTTCTCAGGGATTTAGCTGATAAAATCTCTGCAGTGACCTGCAGGTGGTTTGCAGGCTAAAATTCATTAACACGAAGGAGTAAAAAGTGTATCTTTACACGTGTTTTTAATCTACATTAAAGAGGAAATAGGGTATTTCAAAGGGAAATGAGTTACAGAGGATTTCTAATTTGAGAAAAACAAGGAGTTAATGTCTCAACCATTTTGTCTGGCATTTCCATGCAAAGACCACATAGTAAAACAGATAATGAAAGGCCAAGAAATTGACACTGTCACCCTTTTTTCCCTGAGGAAAATGTTAGTTTATGTAGTTGATATTCGGCAAACTTACAAGCTGCTAAAACAGTCTCATAATGAGAACTGCTGGGCAAACATAATAATATGTGGTGCTACGAGCTATACTTAAAATATACCACAGTGACATTCAAGCTGAGAAAAAAACATTAGTCTGTGAATACTGTAGGTACGTTTATTTTTGAAAACCAAAATTTCTAGCACTCCTCAAGCAAATAATGTTATCTCAGAGGGTATCCACAAGGTGGTCAGTATGTGCTTATAATCCTAGGATTAGAAGCATGAAAGGGGAATGTTTCCATGTGAAATACAAAGCCGTTTGTTTGACCTAAATTGCATGATGTCTTTCTCTTGCCACAAGGTTTTAATTAGCTCTCTTGCCTGCAAGGGAGAATGCAAAGCCCTGCGAGGTGTGAGCCAGGCAGTCTCTCCCTCTTTCCTCTTGTTTACAGGCTATTGTCACTTCCCCATTTCTGAATGACATTCTTTTTTATTTTTTCTGCTCACTGCCTGTTAATGTTTAGTCAGATCTCTTCTGAAATGAAAGACAATCTTGGAAAAATGGAGACTACATGATGTTAAAACATCATGCTATCTATAAAATCTATAGGCTATAAAGGACTATCACTTTTATTCACAGAAGTTGCCTTCAGTTGCTCAAGCTTTAAAAATACTTAACAGTCAGACTGAATTTTCAGCTCTGATTCTGACTTACCACTTCTTCTAACTCCAGAACTGTTTTGACCAAATCTGTAGTCTTTATATTTTTGGAAAACTTCAAAAAATAAATACATTTATTTATTCTTTGTGCCCCTCCTCTTTCCAAAAGCAAAAAGGAGCAGAGTGCTCATATTATAAAATAGTAGACATGACTTTCTGCAAACAGTTGTAGTACCAGAGTGGGTAGGGTTGGAAAGCTGTACTTTGGTCAGACAGATTTTTGGTAGGAGAAATGTCTTTCCTTGTTCTAGGGAAAATCGATTTTAATTTGGCCAAGTGATGAGGTTAGAGATCATACTAAGGATGTGTAACAGACATTTTATAGTCTGGTCAACCTCTCCCTGGACTCAGGTGAAGAAGTCCCACTGAATCAGCTGAAGTTACAATCTGTGTCTGCTTCGTACAATTGAGTCTTCTATGAAGATCTCTGAAGTGACCATGAAAGCTCTCAGGGTCGTACAATCACTATGGTCTCAGCTAGAGTGAATCACGTCTTAAATAACCAGGGCTTTTTCAATGAGCTGCTGTGCCAAGCAAGTTTATGGTGTTTGCGTAACTTTTTGACGATATCTCAGGGTTCATCAGTGGTATATGTGCTCTCATGTGCGTTGGGTGTCTGTGTGTCTTTGTGCTGTAGGAAGTTATATTGCACAATGGTCTCTTCTGAACTGTGAAATATTCTGGCCATCATGAAGAGGCATAGGAGCACTGCCTGAACTCTCAATTAATTTTATTTTAGACTGGGAGAGCTTTTGACCAGAGAGAATGTAAAACTTAAAGTGTAATATGTGCTTCCAAAGGAATAAAAAAATTCAAATCTAAAATACCATTAAACCCAAGTGAGGGACTTGTTAGGTGAATAGCAGACATGTTGAGATCAGTACCTATGTAAAAGTCAGAATTATTCTGCAGTGTGGACCTAGATACTCATGGAGAGCTTTTTTTGTATTTAAGGTGTTTACATTCAAAATGTACTCAATTTAATGGAATCATGTTTAAGGAGAGGACTCTCCTTGGAGGAGAATTTCCCTTTTCTTTGTTCATTGACAGATTTCTTATAGTGACTTGGAATCAGTCTTGTCCAAGTGACTAACCACCCTTCCTCTTGCTTTTGCACATATAATAGAGCCATTATAAGCCACTACAACTTGAATTAATCACAACTTTTGAAAATATCTGTATAGCGAGGATACGTGATGATATACTAATGAATATTCTGCATAGTGTTAAAAAAGAGGAAATATCTGGAATTTGATTTAGTGAATTACTTCAGTAGTGACCATGTTTCTGAAAAAAATTAATATTTTTATGTCAATGGACATTTCACACACCTTTTCTCTTAGTAACAATGATGACAGCAATATAAAGCCTGTAGTAAGCAAAATTGCGAAAGAAAGCTTGGATGTCGTTATATTAGGAGTCCCACATTGAGGCTACACTTATCCACAGCCTTAACCAATCAAACCAGTATAACTGGAGTAGAAGGAACAGATCAAATGGGTATGTGTAAGACATGGAGAGGCAGGAAAGAGCTGAGGTTTATTATGAACAGAGGAAACATGACCTTTAATTTATAGATGCGCCTTTACTCACTAATTGATATTTGCCCTACAGAGAGAATCCTGACCCAACTAAGAACTGAGCTCAGATTTTCATTTTTCCATTTAGAGCTTTAGCTCCAGATTATTTTTCCTTTGAATTAGTTGTGGCAGATTACT